AGGAGATTTGCTGAGAAATGTGATGAAAGTGAATATTAGAAGCCACAGAAGTTCACAATTACCGGGAAGCTAGTCTATATTCACTTTGATTTCAGTGGTGCTTTTGCAGAAACAGCAAACGAATCATTAGCTGGAAAGTATACCGCGAATAAGTTAGTTCACACATCTCAAATAGCTTGTACATGAGTACAATCAAAAACCTACAGGATTATTTCTAAACCTAATCCTGATCTTATATAAGAGTTCGCATACATCTTCCAAAGTTAATGCATCCGAAAGACGAAAAAAGTTGTCTACCACAGATTCTTTGTATATTATCCAAAGTCTTCGAAAAAGGGGATCCTGAAATGTAATCAGTGTGATCTCTAAATAGATACCTTTAAATCTCTTAGGAAGATCGAAAACAGAACCACCCTAATGGTTTTTATTATACTGGGGCCATCGATATCAGAAAGTTGAAACCTATGTATGTATTCCATCGTTCACTACACTCATAATTCATTTACAGACTCTGTGTATATTCTATGATGCCACCACTTTTGGGTGTTTTTCTAAATAGTGGTAAACTCCGTAACTCCCACTAAACTTCGACTTTATTCTCCTGATCTGAACTTATCATGCCCTAATTATTTTGTTTCCAAACTCTTAGTCATTTACTCATTCGTCTGCTGAATTAATTTTTGTAATCTCTTTCCCCAATTCGACAACTTTTACTTGACAAAAATGTTCCACTTGATGAAGCAAATAAATGTAAAGTCATAACATGCCTTATCAATTTTATTTCCATTCGTTTAACTTCGGATCGTTTTGTATCTGTGTATATTGGAACTACCCACTAACTAACTTTGTACCATTGAATTCATGCATGATGAATTTCTGTTTTGATATGATATTTAAATAATATAGATTGTAAGCCGTTTAAGAACAGCTCATCAATAAGGTGATATCGTTATTTACTTAAAATTTTCTTTCTTGCTTTTATCAAGTTCACAAAAAACGTAAATGCAGAAATTATTCACCTTTTAAGTTAATATATACAGCATTTTCACTCTTCCGTCCATATATCTCCTTGACTTGAGTCGATAGTAAGAAAAATCCAAAACTGGCCTGGTCAGTTATAGACAGTATCTAATTAAATTAAATTTTAATCTTTTCAGTAAATGCTTCACAAAGTACTTAACAATCCATTGATGTTAATGTCACGCAAACATCAGTGATGGTGAGACCTGTACACAACACAAAGCACTGTGAAACGTAGAACTAGACACCATGAAGTTGGTTACCCTTCAGCGACCAATCAGTGTATCTAATCCAGTCCTACGGGGGGTCAGTTGCAGCCCGAGTATTTTAGTTATCATGTTTTTCTCTCTGACTGCAGTACTGGGTGAAGCAGGTTTGCAACTCAGATGGGACATGAGTTCCGTCAAATTTGCAGATAAGCCTTGCTGACGAGTGACAACAAGCAAGAAACCTAGATCTAGGGACTCCTGTCGATTCCCTTCGTCTAACTAAGACTGACTTGCGCCCATAGTTTTCAAAAAAACTGACCTTTTAGTGATCCGAGAGATGTTCATTTGGTTTTTCCTATGTATCTCCAGGTCGTCCAAGTACATTTGTTGAGTTAGCAGGCATTTTATCATCTGTTGCGATCCCTCTCTTCTTCTCTGTATAGATTTCGGTTGTTATTTTATTCCGGAAAGATTCCATTATCTAATTGCTGAAAGGAGATTTTGTTTGGTAATTTGTGTACGTTACTTATTACAACTCATCATTAGCAACATCTGCTGTTGTTTTTCACTCGGAACGATGATTCTTCTTATCAAATAAATAACATTTTCAATGTCTTGATAATGGATCCAAAAAAGCAAATTGAAGAATATGACGTTGTTTGTTTCTTTATTAGAATGAAGTCAACTCTTATAAAAAATGAATTATCGTTTTCATCGATGTTAAACGGAATTTCCATTGTTAAAATTCCTGCCTTTAAAAATGCACTTCACTTTAGTGACATTGAAACTGGTAAAACAAAAGGTAGCAGAGTGATTTTAATAGCGTTTTCAATCAACATTGTTGTAATAAGTTGTGACTGTTGGCTTTTATTGGGCAATAAAATGCAATAAGCATTAAAATTAAGTGTATATTACTTTGAACTGTAGAGACAACATAGATCATACTCGAATAAACTAGGCATAGAAATTTTTCCTTTTTGACCCAGGTCATTCGTGTATAGTTGCGAAAGCTTTTTTCTACTAATGTTTTGATTCAGTTTGTGATTCACTGTGAAATTCTTCTTTTCCAACGAAGTTGAATATAAATTATATTTTTATGAGTGTTAACATGTTGGAAATAAATTATCTTCAAACTTTCATCAAGAAGCCTAGTCATGGCTTCATAAGGAAGATAATCAGGATCAAAGTACCAATGACTGAAGAATAACGCCACGGTCATATATTTATTTACTTATAGTAAAAGCAAGTGGGTCAATGATTCTCAGTGTATGCTGGGGTCGACACAATTAAGTAGGACCAGCTGTTTGATTCGAGTGTGGTTTTTCATTGGAATCCGAAATTTTCAGGTCAAAAAAGGATCTGCTTGACACTAATTAAATTTCCAAGAAACTGTATATGTTTGAGCATACGATCACAGTAAATATTGGCTAAACACTCGAAGTTCAATTCTACAGCAACTCTGCAATCGACTTCCAACCGAATTCTGTCTCAAATGATTGTAAGCCAGTAGATAATATTCGTAATTCAATATGTGGACGATCCTGTAGTAGAATTATGTGGTTTGAATTAATTTGTAGGTAAGTTTTCAGTGGTGTTCCAGTCGTCAGCATTAATGAGAAATGAAGACTACTAAGTATGAAAATTCTTTCATTTATGCCCACAATCATAAATCCCATTCAATAATGAATCGACTAATCATGGCATAGCTTTCTTGTTAGGCGTCTAAACCATACCTCACAAAATCAGTGTCTCACTTTTGATCAGTTATTGTTCTTTGAGCTCATGTAATCAAATGGTTTTATGCCTGACAATATATTTTATTCAAGTAGCATGTCTAATTGATTTTCTTTCAAAGTACTTTCTTACCATAACTATGTGAAAGGTATGGATTTAGTTGAACTCTTATGTTTACTTTTTAATATTTCCTTTAAACCACCTATGTGTTGTTGAACTAAAGGTGTTTTATCCATTTTCTTCCTCTAATTCCGGAGTTTTCACACTTTTTTGGGTGAGTGCTTCGAGTGGAACCATTAAGGTTGGTATCTTCTTTACATCATAATTTCTTGTAGGAAGAATGAGTATGGAACAGTTGTCCTTCGACGTAAAACATTTCTGCACATGATTAAATACTATTTTACATAAATAAGGTCAGTTATCTCTTATGATTCCTACGAATAATAAACTAGGTCACCTTTTAGTTTGAGCTATTGTGCAGTATGCGTGAAAAGCTCACCATATTTCCCAACTGTTCATAACCTTAATCTCATGTGACTAATTTTCCGTTATCATTATGTTTCTCCCAGGTATATGGGACGTACTCAACAGGAATTGCAAGAATACAGGGAAATGCTATCCTTCTTGTGTTCTTAGATTAGCAACTTTTACAAACTCAAAGATGAGTATTTATCGTTAACAGCTGCAATAGTTAAATTTAAAATATGCTTTCATCAGTGACATATATATGTCAACTGGTTAATGAAATTCATTTTTTAAAGTTTCTCATGCTTTTCTAAACAAGTGCTTACTATCCATTCTAACTTGTTGTAACTGGTTTAAATCCCGCACAATACAAGTTGCTTTTAAAGTCCCAATCAATGTTTAATATTCTCTTTCCTACTTTGTAGGATTTGAGTAAGTTGATTGATTTTTCACTGAATAAAGTTGACATGAAGTGATCTCGTTGCAAACACAACACAGAACAAACTAACCTAAGATTAAAATTACCATAGCTTATCAACGCTATCATTGCAAACACTAAAAATGGGAATTACTAAACTCACTTGTTTTCATTCACCAGAGTCCCTCTAAATCAAGTTAAACCGGCAAGCGTATAATTGTTGTAATTTTTGTGAACAGACTTGCTTGTTCAGTTAATAGTGACACTTGAGTTTTCTGGTGTAATTTCCACCTGAGAAAATATTACAGAATATTAGTTCGCATCAGTAAATCCAGTTGTGTGAGAAAACTACTTTTGAGGCGGACATTCATGATCCACTTGTATCGCGTTACTTGATCTAACTGTAATATTAATAGCAAAGAAGTATATCATGTTTTACAACTTTTTTTTTCTACTAGTGCTAACAAATAAAACTGCTTTTTTGACAGATTGTGACTTCTAGAGTCAACCGAGCCAGGTGTAAGGAATAAAACTCGCTGATATCACTGAATAACAGTCATGTTGTATCATGAAGTAACAGAAGAAGCAAAATTTAGACCGTCAGATTCTGTCACATTGATTGAATGGTAACATGTTCACTATGCGACCTGGGGGTCCTGGGTCGTAGATGTACTTAGCTGATTCCTACACCCAAGCGTAACAGCCATTTAACGCTCTCAGATTTACGATTGATTTCCAATTGGTATTACTGTATGATGAAAACTACCTCGAAAGTTATCTACCTTTACAAGCGACTTATTGAATCGCGTCCTTTTGGTCGTATAATAATGAGCTTAACAATATTACATATTTGTATGCAGTAAACCAGATGTTCAATGTTTCAAAATGCCTAAACGATTTACATTTACCTATTCGCTGATAAAAAAAGTTTAGGGATTTTCCGGATTTTATGTTCACTTGTAGGCCATCAGCTGCTCGACAGGTCAACTCAATTAGAACAACTGGACCTACTTATTCCAAACGTCGACTGAATTCTGCATCACTTACATTACGTTCCAGTTCAGCAGACAGACGCTGTTTTTACTTCAGGGAATGTGAGTGGGAGCCTTGCTGGTACCCTAAGTAAACTGCCAGCATTAAAAAGAGCACAAAGTATGGGTGTTAACGCGATAAGTCTCAATCAGCAAATTACAGATGGATCCTCAACAAATGTCCACATACCAACAACTACGCTACCTACCAGTGGTTATGCTTCTATGTCTGGAAGTGCTACTGGTAGTGGACGTAGTAGTCATCCGAGAAACATTGAAGATTTGGAAGAAAGTGATTCGGAAAAGCCACAGCTAGACCTTCAAAATGAATCAAGACGTAGGATGACTGGCGACTGGAGTGGTGATAATGAGAATAGAGAGCCAGATGAAGATATTTCAAATCGTGCATGGAAATCTGAGGAAGGTTCTCCAGGTGAAAGCGCTGTTGCTTCATTATCTCGCCTTAATTTAGAACTAGATGCCTTTCTCACCTCTCGTGATGACCAGATATCTTTATCTGATCCTCAGAATCAAAATGATTCAGGTGATATGAATGAAAATGTTGGAAATGTGCAACTGACTAAAACATCTACCCATTTAGTTGATCTACTACAGGATGGTACTATTAGAGGATACTTGTTTTCATCATCTCCTTCATTCGATCAAGGTAGCGATAGACTTCCAGACCTCAGCAGTTTTAAACCAAGTGAACATCATTTAGGTGATCAGAACGCATCTCGCTCATTCAGTTTGATTCACACATCGATTTTTGATTCAGATAGCCAACCCAGCTGGTCTCTTTCATTTTCGTCCAAGAATGATGCCAGTCAGCCTGACGCACTATGCCATTCTGAATTCTCACAGCCACCTCCTAAGCCCCGTCGGACATCTCAAGTTCTAACCACACGTGAAGAAGACACTGTAAGGCTGACACCTGAAGTAAGTTAACACTAGATATGAAACTGTTAAATGCTGTGATTTCTAACATTAAATAAACTTTTACGAATAGGTTAGGCATATACAGATAATCAGTAGGACGCCTCAACTCAGATTTCCTGTAACCTTTTGACTCATCAAGACTATATACCTTCAGTTTCATTAGCATTGAGTTAGTTGCATCATTCAGTAATTTGTTCACATATCTGATCTAAACGGCTTTCATTAATCTTTAACCGATCATGATGTACCTAGTTAGTAACTCACAGCCTAATGACTTGTGTCATCTCTTGCAGTGATGAGTTGTCCGAGTACCTATTAGAGGATGAGCATACTTTACTGCAGTTCATCCTGTCCTGTTATGCATCTATGTGGTATTGTTGTTTAAAGTAGAATGTACGAAGAGACTACAGATTTTTGACCGTAGGTCTCTTCATTGCATTGCTCGTGTATGATGGAATCACCGTATGAACAATGTCGAGGTTAAGCGAAAGATATTAGACAAGGAAGGAAAGTCGGTAATTGAGACTTTAAACCTTCAGCGACTGAGGTGGATTGGACATGTATTTCGCATGCCAGGTCACCACCTACCTCAAAGTGCAATGTTGCCCGAAGTCATATTAGGTTGCAAGAAGACAGGGTGGTCAGATGAAGAAGTGACACCAGTTTACAAAATCTCCGACCCTTGCTGTGAACCGTGTAGGGATGCATTGACCACAAGTTTCGGGTGTACGAGTTAATATAAATCAATGGTTGAAGATCCTTAGTGAAATGGCTGAAAATCGGTCACTATAGTGCACATATATTCCTTCTCTTATGTCCTATTAGGCTGGAACATACTCACTAACCTTGCTTTTTTAATTCTTCTTCCCCTACAGATCTTTGTCTCTTTTGATGACACTATTTTTCTGTTCACTTACTTTAAGCCTACTATTGTGAAGTGTGACAACCTGAACCGCTACATTTCTGTTCAAGGTTCTACGTTGATTTTTTCTGTTTGTCGACAAGATCTAGTCAACATTTAAATTCAGCACTTAAATTCAAACAACCCAGTGGTCGATTTTCGAATGCTTTAACCAATAACCAGTGCCTCAGATCTGTTTAGATACAAATATGTTGCATTCCATTTTCAAAACTATATTTTATTTGTATACCTTGACCTTTATTTAGGATTCACAATAACTTGGGACGATAAGAATTTTATGGGTAAAGACTGAGAAAAGTCTGTCTGTCAGTTATATGTCTTGAAAGAAGTAAAATCTATTTCCGACAATATACGTATAAGAAAATTCTTTCATTCCTATTTGCTTTTTCAGTATCCTGATGTTCATTAGGAAATCCTACTCAATCCTTCACTGTATAAACTTCAAAGTGTATTTTGCGGATAGGAAAGCATTCAAGTTGAGTATTCATCAAAGTTTGCGGGGTAAAATTTGATAACGTCTTTATACGATCATTATATTTCCAGTCGAGAATAGAATGTATAGATGTTGATGACACCAGATATTTGGAGATAGTGACATTGTCTCTACAAATTATTACCTTTTTTCGTTATAGTTCATCTAATATAAAAATATTGACAGCTAATCTTCAAGTGAGAAAAATTGATGTACGAGGAAGCCTAAAGTGTTTTATCCCAATCAAGTATGCTATACTTTAACTGAAACTGATGCAGACACTTTAAAGTGAATTTCTGAAGTCAAATAGCGGCATCTAAAAAATTGTGTGGAAATCTTATGTAATTATCAAAAACAGCGTTTAACTTCAGGTGAAGTAGTTTTGTCTCATATATTTGTTCACTATACGAATAATCCTGGTCATTTGTCCACACAGAAATAGATAGTCACCTAAATCAGTTAACGTTTTTATCAAAAAACAAACATTAGAACAAGAAATTTCGAATTATATCTTCGGAAATAAGACGAAATACCCCTGACTTCGCCCCAGTGACCAACCACTATATCTAATGCAGTCTTACAGTAGATCGGTCCTGACCCAAACAGCTCAGTGTTAATGCCTACAAAAGCAGTGAAGGATGATGAAAATACTAGGGTGCATATCAATTCATCTGATCCTGTGAACGTTTGGAGCTAAGCGTATTCAACGAAAATGAACCCTATTTCAAAGCATCCTTGGTGATTCTCCTTAAACTATCATTCATGTATTTAGCTGAAGAAAAGATGGTTAAATAAAGTTAATCGATCTTACTCGAACGACTAAAGTTTTCGCTTTACTGAAAAGAACTAGTCATACGAAGGCTTTTACACCCAAGAAAATGAATTATAATATTGTTATTTGTATTACTATATATACTATACCCGTCGCATAAGAAGTGCCTGTCATGACTCCATGGCCAAGTGGATAATGAACTGGCGTTTGAAGCAATCGGTCCTGGGTTCGAGACATAGTGGGAACAACATCGCACACTGGGCGCCAAGTACGTCCAGCTGACGAGTCCCCGATGGACGAAACGCATATTCTTGATTTCATTGTTAGCCATTATCCATCATTAATATAAAATAAACTATAGTTTCAACGATGCATGTAATTTATATTAGTGATGGGAACTTGTATTTGTCAGTCATTTTATAAAAACTAATTGCACTGCTTAAGAATCTTTCTGAAATTCTTTTCATGACCTTTTAAAGCCAATTCAATTCGAAAGAAATGAGCTCATGAAACCGTCACTAGGCGAAATAATTCAAATGCACATGGATTCAGCTAATATTCTTAATCCGATAACATCAATTTGTAAGTGTCCAAGTTTTACTTCAATATGCTATTTGTGTTACTAGCGTAGATTTCTGCTTGTGCTGATGTAAATTCTTTCGGTATTTTTGAATAGCTACATTTTCTTGCTGTTTTCTTCTCTGATGTGATTTTGAATCTCATAGTTATACATTTTCAAATGGGATAATTGCTAGACAGGAAATGCTTGAATATGCCTACTGAGTGAAGGAATGACTAAGTGAAACTTACCGTTATCATCAGTCATTATAATTTTTCATTTATGAGATAAGCTTTATTTATAAGGTCATATAACTGCCACTGGTGATGAAATCGATGAAAAACTGGTAACTGCCTTAGAAATGTATTTGACTTCAAAATCCTATTAACTTGTTAAAAATTAATATGCTAATTATCTCGTAAGCATCATAGGAGTGGATAAGTGAATACAGTTTAAATTATTGTTTCTGAACAACGAGAAGAGTTATTGACTTATAAACTGTGGACTTATACATTTTTCGGAAGATAAAGTTTTATTCCTCAGAATGTACGCTGTAATAAATATGAGACTGAAGGTGAAATTGCCATGTATTTTATTGCCTGGTCATATGTTTACTGATTCTAACCATTTGATCTGACTGACGATATGAAAAACCTGTTGGTGGCATTTTGTATATCCAGCTCTACATACAAGATAGGATGAAGTGATAAGTGTGCGCAAAAACAAAGAAACACTAAAATTTGTTCATGCCAGGCTGCTGATGGTCGGAATGCTATTAGTGTAGACAAAAAGAACAGTGGTGTCAAAGAATAAGTTTCAAGATGCAAATCCAAATGAGCTTCCAATGAAAAATTCTAGATGCGCTGTTGATGAACTACTTTCCCCGCTAAAATCGTGATAACCTAAATTTCTTCAAATGAACTGTTGCTATTATGGTGAAAATTTGTAATTCGCAGATTCCCGTCTAAATCTTTTGAATATGAATAAGGAAGTTTCTGCAAAACAGTTTGCATATTGTTTCCGAGTTTTTCAAAACGAAACTCTGCAAAGTCATTACTGTTTGCTTTATAAAACTGAGGGGTTTACAAAGCTCCTAGTTTGCTTTCATATTCGACCTACCATTCATTTTAAAAAGATCAACATAATAAAGAGTTAATTGTTAGTTGATTGCAGTCAGTCGAGAGGAGTCCTGTTTGGCCTACTTTCATGCTTCTCGACACTTGTCAGCAAGGTGTACCTACAACTTCGAGGGAAGTGATTTCCCCTGTAGGATTCGAATCCACAATGCCTGCTACTGCAGCCGGAGACTCTACCACTAAGCTATTAAAACCACGACTGACCTCTTGCAGGACTGAATTAGGTGGATTGCTCAGGCCGAACAGCCCAGTGATAACGTCTCTGATTATGACAGTGGTTGATATGGGCTTGAGTCATAAAGGGGATATCAGTTCCCTCGAGGTTACAAACATACCTTGCTGACGGGTGTCATGAAGCACGAAACCTAGGTTCAAGGCTCCCTTGCGTTTACCTCCAACCAAGTAGCATCCCCCAAAAGGAATCGTGATGGTGAGCCTCGTAGTTTGGTGACCGTATTGCAGAACGATCGATAGAATTCGATCAGCACTTTGGACTAGAAAACATGAAATTGTTCACCTTCCAGAGGGCAATCAATAATATGTTAATTGCCACATAAATAAAATTCACCCACCTTAAAATTTTCACTATACAGCAAATAAAATGCAAGACATAAACTGTCAGGTGTGACAAAAGGCCAGATCATCGTACCATCTGGGAAACCTGCCGGGATTGAGTTAGTTCAAACTTATCCGTTCCTTTTGTTCTAGTCTTCCAAGCACTGAGTTAACTTAGCGTCACGCTAGGCAAGCAGACCAGCAGGTGCTACTGAATGAATAAGGTGACACCTATTACTTGTTCTAACCAGCACCACTTACCGCATACTTCACACAAATTCCACTATGTGATCACGAATACAAGGTAATATGAGTTAATGTAGTAATAAGACTGTGGTTTATATTGTAAGAGACTAATCTTGATAGCATTTTCTTTTGTTACTTTTTCGCGGATATTTGTAAATTACTTTTGAGGCTTAGCAGTCAGAAAAGAAAATGCCTATACTACAAATTGCTTCGAGAATTCACTTCAACAAACTATTCAACCTTATCTCACTCGTGACGTCAACTGAAAAGTGTTGCAAACATGGAACAGAAGATCAGTTTGTCATTTTAATCGTGTTAAGTAGATCTTCCACCGTGTAAAAAAGTTCTGCACTGGCTTGTTTCATTCCTTAAGAGGAGAAATAACAACGTAACTAATCTATGGCAAATATTATGTCTAGTTAGCCTAATACTTCACTATACTTTTCCCTGTTGTGTATGTGATTTATTTATAGTTATTTTTAACTAACATTTGACAGTAGCTTCAGGCATTTTTCTTCTTCAAACCACTAGTTAAATGTGATATATCAACATTCGTAAATCTATTGTGCTAAATGGCTACTTTAGAAATTCATTTCTGTTGCATTGAGCTCATATGATTTTAAGACTTTAGACGATAGTCAATAAATATTTGCTTGAGGTAAAAGTAGGAAAGCTCTGCTAGATCTCAGTTGTATATAGCTCGAGGCAGACTGATCGATAGTTTGTGTATTTTCTTCGGGACAAAACATGCGCATACAGCTGCCATATTTCGAATTCTGTGAATTCATCTTCATAAAACATATCAGAAAAAAAATGATAAACAGCACTGAAATGTATTCTTGTTGTCTGCGGTTGTCTTCTTTGTTGTCAGAAACGTTGCTTATCCCAAGAGAATCTATCATATATATTATAAAGAGTCTTTTCGTTTGACGCCCAGTACTTAACTCTCTTCATTGTTTTATCCTTTTTGGTTTTGTGTTCAACAAACTTTTATGTTGCTTGACAGTCAGGTTACTGATAAAATTTAGGTACCGTAAACTATGCATTGTATAACAAAAATATGTTTCAGTAGGAGAAATTGTATGTTATCTTCTGCACAAATGTCTGTACTGACAGACACACAAGTTGATTGCTTACAAAAATTCTCTAGGTTTTTTCCTTGCATACATTGGATATAAATCCATATCTTAATAATTTATTGTGGAATTTGTAAGAAATTCAAGGCCATGTTAAATGCTATTTTCATCCAAACGTTCAATACCTGACACTCATAGACATTCTTCTATTTCACTTGTTCTGCTCAAGTCTCTGAATATGTTTTGTTTTACAATTGCTGGTACTGTTATTTTCACTTCTATGTGAGTCACCCTTATTACTTAACTGTTTCCTGTCCTGGTGTGAATTGCAGTAAATTAAATCGATAACTAATAGGCAGAGATATTACGATATTGGCTTCCAATTTCCGATACCCCTGAAGGGATAGTGCTCAAGTGCCGACTAGGTTCAGGATTTCCTTTTACTGCTGGGTGCTTTAAATACCCTTCATGGGAGTCAAAACTATCTAAATGCCTAGACTTGCTGTAGTCCGCAAACTAAGACCTCTAGAATCAAGTTGAATGAGGTATAAAAAGCGGATGACAACTCATAATAAGAATTAGCTGCAGTACATGAGTTAGTTTTAGTTTGATTCTAACGTGTTTGGGAAGTGAAAAAAGATTTTTCTGAACGTTTCGATGTTTATGCTACAACTTTTTCTGCTGGTTGTCTAATCATGTATATAGTCCAGTCTTATAATAAGTCAGTCGGGGCATGAATAGACTAATGGTTAAATCTCCGGCTTCAGCATTAGGTGATTTAGGTTCAGATCACCGGGAGAGCACCAGTTTCCTCATAGCTGCAGGTATATGCTGCTGATGGGTTCCATTAAGCCCGAAAACTAAGTTCAGAGTTTCTTTCCTATTGGTTCTTCCCATCTAACAATAAAGTTCATATTTGTTTCACAATCCAAAACACTTTACTTTTGTTTATGATGTAGAGTCTTACTTAAACAAAAAATCTTGGAATATCGAGCCACCAGATCATAACAATACAAGGATTTGTTATATTTCTTAAAGTCAGTAGCTTATCTGTGGCAGATCAGATTCAGTTTCCACTAGACGCTGTGCGGCATTATGCAGTAAGACTATGTGGCAAGGAAAAATCTGTGTTTACCTTCTCAGCTTTGAGGAAAAAGTTAAGCAACAATTCACATTTATAATCCAGTGAGGGAATGACTCCAGTACTGTTAAGTTACCAGTCAGTCACTGTGCTGAGTTCCTGTGGTTAGTATTTCATCATTTCACTTACATCAAAGTTTATTTTCAATCAACAGACTTATGTTTGGTTATCATTTCCAATATTTATGCTTGCATATGTGAAAGCCTTCAATGAAACGTACATTAAAGACATTTTATCCGAATTTACAAACCTTGAGATATCTCTGTTTCTCGGTTTACCGATTAACTTCTGTCGACCAAACTTCATCGCTGAAACATAATCACCTAGTTTGATACCAGTTTATTTATTGTACTAAATTTTTGTTATACAAGATAATGAAGAATTCTGTATCAACTAAGTGCTAACAAAGTCATCTAGTTTGGTGACGAAAACAAACTTCAAAACCTGGAGAACACGTAACAAGTATCATCCTTATCCTCAGCTGCAAATCTTTTGTAAGCTCAAAAAATAGCCGTCTAACGCCTACAACACAGTCAATGTGGCTTTCATATGTGTAAAGCCTAAAAATTCCCAAGAGCCATTATTGTGGAAATTGCATAATAAATCGGTTTGCTTGTTTTGTTTAATGATTTGTTTTCGAATCTTTTTTTGCTGATGGCGAATAAATATAGACATCATACCAACTTACAAAACGTTACATATCCAAGACACTTTCACTTTATGCCGTGAGAAAAAATGAACGTCTTTTCCAAGATTTTAAATTACTTTTGTGCATAAATTTATTACTAGAGACTTGTGAAATGAGAAAAAAACATTTTTAAGTTTGCAAATATTATCTTTTTTGGGTTCTGTAAAGTTAAACACGTAGCTTTCCAATAAAATTAATCACTGTGGTATTACTGAAAAACTTGATGGTGAATTTCACAAAAAATAAACGGCATCGAATACATTTGCCTACTCTACAGCCTTTTTATGCTGTTTATAATCAGTCACTGCTGGCGGAATTGGTTACAGTTCGCAACATTAACTCAGCACAGTGTTTTCGGAGTCTAAGAATTATAATAAATCCTCTTACTATTTTATCTGGTAGATATTTTTGTTTTCAAACACTTTTATGAAATGAAAACTGTAGAGAAATTAAAAACTGAATAAACACTGGTTTTCTTGGATGAGCGAAAACTGAGCACAAGAAAATTTCATGAACGTCCATATCTACCCATACGGTACATTTTTACAAGTTTATAGATTGGTAAGCTTTACATGTTTGGATGAAACTTCCTCGTTTTTGAAAGACTCGGTATGGCTGTTTTGTTCCAACTCTTGCTCATTTTCTACTTATATGTTACGTGTCATTTTACGTGATAATGTGTCAGAATTTTTGATAAACGTATATATTTGCGTAGATATGGGTAGTTTCTACAGAGAAACAGATTCAAAGAGAATCGGTCTTCTTCAGGGAATACTTTTTCAAGATAACATTGGTTGGAGTTTTCAATCAATATTCACTGACAGTAGTGATCAGTAAATCACTGAAACAATTATCATTAACAGCTCCAGATCAAAGTATCTTTCTACCGAAGCATATTTTATACTATGCGTGGTTGAGATGTACAAAAAAGGTCAACTTTTAAAACAATTAGTCCACTTTAGTAAATTTTGACAATACTGTAGGAACTCCTAATTTATCAGCTTTAATTAAAACTGGTGAGAATAACATATGTTTCAAATATGCTAAAAAGCCAAGTTACTTTTAATATAAACTTTGTGAACTAAACTATCCAGTATTCGTTTATTCCTCTGTTTACCTTGACATTGAATAAAAGTCAAACTAAGCATGTTTTGATTTTCTGAAAGCAACACTTTTTCTTTGCAAAAATATTTACTTTTACTAGAACGTATGCATTTAGTACGATGGCTGGAAATATAAGCGCTTTCGAATTCCCTAAGGCAGTTTGCTGAAAACAACTAATAACCGAAGCTCCAGGTAAATATATTTCTATCTGCTGATGAAAATAAGACAGTCTGCAATTTAGAATAAAATCCCTGTTAACCTCAAAACACATTACTGTACTGGTGACATGCTTCAGGTTGGAAATCCCGAAGTTCTAATGAAAAGCTGTGACCAGTGGGGCCTATCAATCGGAACTGAAGCGGATCCCAAGAGAAAGCCTTGATGCGTAGTCGCGCTGCATCACAAACTGACAGAAGCAAGACAGTGTAGACCATTGAACTCTGACCCAGTGACTGAATGGTTAGCCCATTCGCTATGAAACTGAGGGTTCTGAGTTCAATTCTTTGGCAGAGTCATGGGTGCGTGCTACTGAGAAGTCCAATACTAGAAAGAAACAGCTGTCCAGTGCCCCAAGGTTTTCAATAGTTCTCCAGCCAATAACTAAGTTTTGTAATGGTTTGTTAATAACTCAAGAGATGTTCTTAAAATGAGAGTAGTCTTTGTTGAATTTCTTTTTTCACTTTAATATCAGCCTCTCAGCGAACTGATTCACCTGGGATAACTCAAAGTGCCAATGAGAACAATAACTATGGTATTGCATATTCACCAAACGCAACAACTGCTAGCCTTCTAGACTCACGTCCATATGGTGCAGCATTAATCTTACCGACTGCAACTCAGCTTAGCTTAGATATTAGTCTAGACAGAGATTTATCTTTCACGTATACTACTTCAATATTTTCAACTGCTACAAATACTATAACTGGTTCCTCATCAGTACCTGGGGTATAACCTCAATAGGTGCAACCTCATCTACAGCTGACAATACGACTGCAACAATGACTCTGTCTGTATTGCCCAATTTGTCTATCAGGCCACAAACTATTGCTTCGTCCATAACAATACCACCGTTTACAACAGCACTTTCCCTTGTGTCTTCGTCTTCAACATCAACCATGCATGCAACAAATGTGCCAAGTACTAAGCCGTCACAGAGTCAAATAGCCAATGATCAATTATTATCACCAAATCACTCGATATTATATGATTTCTTACCACATGAAGATCCATTCTCAATTAATTTAAATGATATTACAATACTAAAATCAACTGAGTCAAGTGATACAAGGACAGTGGATACACAACTACCTAAATCAGAAGCTGAATCGAGCAGAATACAGTTGAGTGACTTTCTGCAAACATTTGGATTAACAAGCAGTTCAAATGAACCTATAGATTTGGTTAAATCCGTAATAAAATCCAGTGAAAATGAAACCTATGGATGTTTATTCTTGGATGAGGTAATTAGGAATATTATCAATCGTTAATAATACCTTCATGTATGCATCATAAGTTATATAAATCATAGAAAATGTTTGTGATATTGCACACCTTGAAAAAAATTTTAAACTTTTTGTCACGTCCTCACAAAATCATTATCGCTGGTAACGTATAACAAACCCTTATATTAAATTCTGCAGAATAATTCTCCTGATAATTAAATAGTTATATGAGTCAGTTGAATAACTTTGATAAGCAGATTAAGCAGAGTAAACTGTGGATGCATAGAACTCAACAAGTATTATTCTTTATTTCACCGTATAATTGAAGAAAAGTGCATTGTCATGGTATTTAATGAAAACTAAATAAATCGAAGCTTCATATGTTGCCAAATAGCTTGAATAAAATCTCGAAGTTTTATTCATAAAGCTCCATGGAAACATAATAAATAAATATCAGGTTATTTATCTTTACGATGTAATACACAGAGAGAACTATCTGGGAAAGGCATTTGATGAAAACGAAGCACAAATTACCAACAAAATTGTCGTTATTTATGCTACCATGAACAAAAGTCTGAACCATTCTTCTTACTTTTCTGTAAACTAAAGGAGATCACACAATACCAGTTACTATTTTTTAAATTTCATTCTCCTTCCTAAAATCTGAGCTGCAGCACCATACTACAAGATGACGTGAGAAACTTTACAATTCAACTATCAAGCCATGTTTGAATAGTCTAATTATACTTATTTTGTTCGGTTAAGGCCAATGCTGTTAGTTAAGTGCAGATCACTTGTATCTGGCCAGTTGTGGGAGGTATCAACGCGTCATGTAATCTGTTGCTGATTAACAAACAGTACATCTAGTAGATACTTAACAGTAATTCTTAAACCTCTTACATATTCTTCTAAATGAATAAAATACTCAGTAGCTAACAGTCTGTATAACCTCTAAGTACACTATCAACAACATACTCATGGACTTAAGCATTTTTTCAGTTGTAATATGAAAGTCTTGGTTTCGTGATGTAAAAGAATCCTCTGACAGAGATCATTTAGTCTTATATCTCAGAGACTTGAATTGGTCTACTTTGCTCACTCACAGTCGAAAGTTTATTAACCTTTGCTGCCTCAACGGGATATTCCATTACGTACAAGCATCTAAAGGGACATTTTTCATGCAGTGCTTTCAATGCTTCGCTATGCATTCAGTTTAATGATAAGGAGTAGAGTAGGATTATATATTCCAACACATCTAGTCATACAAGAGTCGTCATTTGCATCTATTTCCAAATTAGACTAGTTTATTCGATACAGCACACAGCGATCCTGTATTGCTATTATTAGTAGTATTATCAAAGCTACCTTGGTATGAATATCAACAATAAATGTCATCTAGTAAACAATGATCTATGAGCGTGAACTGTATCAAACCGACTAATCTAATCTAAAACTGCGCTCTACCACAGCGCCCTAATTCTATACTTTCAGTAGTCTACATATGCTATTTTGGCATATTTCTTTCTAGATAAAAACAAGCAGAAAGATTATAACCTACTAATTAACGACAAGTGTACATTAACGGCGATACAAATCTTTTCATGAAGTGAAATTATTATACTTCCTTAAGGTTTTAACAGATTTATTCTTGTTTCTTATTAAATTACAAAGTCTCCATAGTGAGAATTCACTCATTAAAAAAAATACAAATTGCGAATTTTAGCAAGACATCCTCTGCTTTGAGATACAAATATTGCTTAACATTGTGATTCTTTATCACTAAACAAACTGAGTAGTTAGAAGTCACTCAGGCTGTCCGATAGATTTCGACAGCTGGATCAGAATGATCTAAACACCCTATTAGTATTACAGTTGGGCAGTTGAAAAACTACTCAGCTGTGAGAAATGTCAACGTGGACAGTGAGCTTTGTATACCATTTGCAAATCGATCATAATACTGTGATCCTTTAGTACATAGAAAATAATTCAGAAGACTAAATATAGGTTTACAAATGCAGATGGACTGAACATCTCAGTATTCAAGTCTTAAACTTCAGGGCTGAACGATGCTGGTCCGAACCACTGAGATGACAGCAGTTTACCCATGGTTGCAGGTATGCTTTCTTGATGTGTTTCAACAACCTCAAAACCTGGTCACAAGACTTCTAGCCGATTTACTCTCACACTGTAAAACCAGATTGTGAATCATATCAAAAGAAAGTTCAGTGATTCCCTTGAAGTGAAGACAGAAGACAAAAGTAAGACAGGGCTGCTTACTATCACCGATGATCTTCCTGACTGTGGTGGACTGGATCATGCAACAAACCGTGGGGAGCGAGAAGAGGTGCATACACTGGCTGGTCCAATGAAAAGACCTTAAAACATTTGGATTTGTGTCTACTATCGCACAAACTCGATGGTCTACAAGCAAAAGCCAACAAGTTGACAGAAAAGGCAGAGCAGCCAGGACGGGACTTCAGGTGAATGTAGAGAAGACAGAGGTAGTAAAGATAACCAACCGACAACAGCATCAACGACAATCACAATGACTATCAACGAGTGAAACCTAAAGGAAGTCGTCTCTTTCACCTACCACCTAGGGAACATCTTTTCAGATACAGGTGGTACAGGAATAGATGAGGATGTCAAAGCCGGCATCGGAAAAACAGCAGGACAAGCCTTCATTAATCTGAAATCAGTGTGGAGATCGACTGCACTCAGCATAAAGCGTGAACAAGATCCGAATTTTCAACACCAACGCAAGTCAGTGCTTCTTTATAGTTCACAAACTTGGCGCGTCATGAAAAGCATTTCCAACAAAATACAGATGATCGTCATCAGCTGCCACCTACGCTCACTCAATGCTGAAGCTCGGATGGCCAGAATAATAAGAATAAACAACAAGGACCTCTTGCTGGTTTGCAACGAACCAACCAGGTACCTATCACTCAACAGTTTTGCAGAAGAAAGTGGAAATGGATTTGATTGGAGATACACTGAGAAGACTATTCGGAGACATCAGATGCCAGTCCAAGCCTTCTAGTGGAACCCTAAGGCAAAGCGACAAGTTGGGTGTCCCAGCTGAGGGTGACATGGAGGAGATTGTGTGAGGAAGAAATGAAAACTTGTGGCAGTCGTGGAGCCAGGTTGAAAGGACTACAGAGAAGAGAGTGAAATTGTGAAATGTTACTGAAGCCTTATGTTCCACTAGGAACCCAAGGGGCAAATAATATAATACTAATTTGAATTTTCAATAGCTTCAATCTAGTCAAACATAAATTGGCACTTGTAAGAGCATTGTTGTACAGAGTAAAATGAATATGTCCAAAGGATGATTTAGAAGATGAGGTAGTGATAATCAGGAGATTTGCTGAGAAATGTGATGAAAGTGAATATTAGAAGCCACAGAAGTTCACAATTACCGGGAAGCTAATCTATATTCACTTTGATTTCAGTGGTGCTTTTGCAGAAACAGCAAACGAATCATTAGCTGGAAAGTATACCGCGAATAAGTTAGTTCACACATCTCAAATAGTTTGTACATGAGTACAATCAAAAACCTACAGGATTATTTCTAAACCTAATCCTGATCTTATATAAGAGTTCGCATACATCTTCCAAAGTTAATGCATCCGAAAGACGAAAAAAGTTGTCTACCACAGATTCTTTGTATATTATCCAAAAGTCTTCGGAAAAGGGGATCCTGAAATGTAATCAGTGTGATCTCTAAATAGATACCTTTAAATCTCTCAGGAAGATCGAAAACAGAACCACCCTAATGGTTTTTATTATACTGGGGCCATCGATATCAGAAAGTTGAAACCTATGTATGTATTCCATCGTTCACTACACTCATAATTCATTTACAGACTCTGTGTATATTCTATGATGCCACCACTTTTTAACCTGGCTCCACGACTGCCCACAAGCTCTCATTTCTTACTCACATGATCTCCTCCATAGCATCCCTGCCTCGGACGCTCAACTCGCCGTTGACCATCTTGGTTCCACTAGAGGGCCTGGCCTGGCACGTGATGTCTCCGAATAGTGTATCTCCAATCAAATGCATTTCTATTTTCTTCTACATATTTGTTGAGCGATAGGTTCCTGGTTGATTCGTTGCCAACCAGTCAGCCAGAGTTCCCTGTTGCGTATTCGTTCTGGCCATCTGATCTTCAGTAACGAGCGTATGCTGTTGTTGATGAATATCTGTAGTTTGTTGGAAATGCTTTTCGTAACGCACCAAGTCTCTGAACCATATAGAAGCGCTGACTTGCGTTGGTGTTGAAAATTCGGATCTTGTTCACGCTTTATGCTGAGTGCAGTCGATCTCCACACTGATTTCAGACTAATGAAGGCTTGTCCTGCTGTTTTTCTGATGCCGGCTTTGATATCCTCATCTGTGCCTGTGCCGCTTTTAGTTGAAGTAATGCTGCCCAGATAGTTCTCTTTCTGTGTTGTCCGCACGGTGTTTGGCATTCATGTCATCTTACCCATTATAATGAATTTTGATGTGGCCAACTGGGGTGGAGTCTTGTCGCGTACTGATTGCAGTTGTGTATAGAATTCCTCCTTCTTCTCTTCATCTGCATCATTTATAGGTGCGTGGCGTAGCGTAGTGTAATGTAGCGTAGTGTAGTGTAGTGTTGTGACTTTGCTTCCTTTTGATTTGAAGCTAGCTGTCATGATCCTGATTTTGGAGGAGGAGATTGGTTGCCACTGCATGAGAGAGAGAGAGAGAGAGCCTTCGATGCTGTTGGTGACATCATGATAGCCACTCGAAAACTCAGTGTGCTGGTGGTTGTCGTCTGTGTGACAAAATCGGAGTAGATTATTGACTCTGAAGTTGACAGTTTAGAGAGTCTACTTCTATTCTGTCTAGTCTCGCATATTCCTAGCACTTCCATGCCATCCATACCTTTTCATCTCTTTTGCAATCTGGACAGCCTTGCCAAGCAACTTCAAACATTGTGCGGGCATTCCATGTCCCCATTCTTACTTTTGCTTTAATCGAGAGGAGAGAAGACACATGAATCAATTGGCTTTGCGAAGGCTTTATGGAACCCGCGTCATTTCGTCTCCCCGATTCCAGGGAGGAATAAGTTTATTTTTAATTTACATATTTTTTATGTGGTTAGAAGTTTTTTTAGCGATTGAATTGGTTTTCGGTGATAGGGTTGCTATCTGTGTATACCCAACGTTCCCTGTTTATCTGGGTTTCGGAAAGTCTAGTAACTAGTGAACTAGTTAGCCAGGCGATGTTGAACTGATCAAATAAGAAAGTGTAGTTGCTGATTATTCTCCAGTTTCACTTAAGTCACCATGATTTGTATCTGGCTGTTATGGCAATGAGAAGTTGCCTATTCGAGGTTTTTCATGCTATGTTGGGTTCTTTTTCTTAAAGTTAGATAAGGTCGGGATGATCTTGTTGCTATCTTAAGATTAAAAAACTTTCCGGTATTACACACCTAACTGAAAATAGATTCTCGACAGGGTGTCTTACCTCATGTTCAAAGAAGATATTCTTTAAAATATTAGGAATTCTGTAAAAATAAAGAAACAGTACTATTGAGGATAGTAGCCATAATGCAGTTATTAAAACACCAACGATTATTTACCATTGAACTCCATAAAAAATCACATTTGACTCTTTCTAACACTAAGTTATCAATCAGTTGAAATAAATGAGTGACAATATTAATGGCAAGAATCTCACATAGTTCGCTTCAAAAAACGGAACCATCCTACAGATCTCCTCCTCTGTCAGTATTAATATTAAGCTTCACTACTACGGAGTACCGCAAACCTTTATCCGCCTCATTCAACAACTATATGAAGATGCCACATGCCAGCCAAGTAATTCACAATGGGAAGCTCAGTGATGCTTTTGAAGTGAAGACAGGAGTGAAACAAGGTTGCCTACTATCCCCCATGATATTCGTGATTGTGGTCGACTAGACTGGATCATGCAGCAAACAGTGGGCAGCGAGAAGAGGGGGATACGCTGGCTGGACTGCGGAAAAGAACCTAGAAGACTTGGGTTTCACCGATAACTTGTGCCTGATGTCACATAAACTTGAAGATCTGCAGGCAAAAACTAACAAGTTGACAGAAGAGGCGTAGCATCGAAGGGAGACGGGACTTCAAGTGAATATAGAGAAGACAGAAGTGATGAAGATACCGCACCACCACCATCAACAACAAACTCCAATCACCATGAACGGGAGAAACTTAAGGGAAGTAACCTCCTTCACCTATCTAGGCAGCACTGTTTCAACTACAGGTGGGACAGACGAGGATGTCAATGTCAGAATCGGAAAAGCAAGACAGGTGTTCATTAACCTGAAACCAGTGTGGAGATCTTCTGCACTCAACATGCGGAGCAAGATCCGGATTTTCAACACCAACGTCAAGTCAGTGCTTCTGTATGGTTGAGAGACTTGGCGCGTCACGAAAGGCATTTCCAATAAACTACAGACATTCATCAACAATTGCTTACGCTCGCTACTGAAGGTCAGATGGCCAGAACAATAAGAATAAGCAACAAGGAACTCTGAGAACGAACCAACCAAGAACCTATCACGCAACAAATATGCAGGAGGAAGTGGAGATGGATTGGCCATGCACTGAGAAGGCCGACTGAGGACATCACGCGTCAGGCCGTGCCCTCGAGTGGAATCCCCATGGGAAGCGACGAGTTGGGCGTCCCAGTTGAGGGTGACATGGAGGAGGTCGTGCGAGGAGGAAATGAGAGCTTGTGGGCTGTCGTGGGACCAGGTTCAAAAGATCTCAGAGAACAGAGTTCACTGGAGACGTGCTGCTGAAGCCCTATGTTCCACTAGGAACCCAAGGGACTAATAATAATAATTATTATTATCAGTCAACATCTATCAAACACTGGTTAATGTATAATATGCAGTGACTTCAGCGATTTCCGGTTTTCGATTTGTATGTGTGTCCAGTATATGCGTCAAACCTCATTTAAAATGAAATTTTCTGTCAAGATAACTTTTCATATGCTGACCTGTCATGCTTGTTTGCCTATATGCATGTTAACTAAATTCCTATTCATTTTTCTACTTCGATACAGTTTATGCAAAGCTGATTGTAGTTTATTGATCAAAATAACAGTTAACATCCAGGAATGTAGTTCTGTAAATCACTACTGTTTTATTTGTTAGTGGTTAGATTGAAATGCTCTTTTTTTATTGATATCCAAATCAATTTTGGATTTGATTGTTTGGTTCTCTTTTAGTATTGGTTTCATTTAGTTCAGTCGATTGTTACCTTTACGTTATGCTTCCGTTGACGGTCTGCATTCTTGTTTGTTTGGTCCAAGTTCAAACCCTAACCACTCAGTAGGCTTTCTTAATATTGCTAATATTGTATAACACAACTATATCAACTTCAAAGTGATTAGCTGTAATTTTGTTGTCTACAGTTTACATATACGAAGGTTTTCATGGAAATCAAAATTCTGTCAATTGAAGCTTCTTATGGCTTCCAGGATTTCTCTCTCCGCTTGCGTATTGTTTTAAGCCATTAACCCAATAAATATCACCAAAACTAACGCATCATTCCCTCAAATATCTGATTCGGTGTGTATTTACAAAAATATGTATTTTACAAGAAGTGAACTGATTCCGACCGATTGAGAAAAGTGTTTGTTATGGTTAAATAAAACATGAATTATACAACTTGGGTTTTTCAGGCATACAGAAAACCTAGGTCCTCTGAAGTTCTTCATCTATTTGTCTGCTTTCTACACGATTCTGACATCAATTACGTTTTTTGTGTAAACACTTTTTTATATTTTACTTAGGAATGCATATTGAATAGGAGTGCTTTTACTCACGCTGTTTTCTCACGAGTCGGCATATGAATAGTATACTTGCGATGTGTATGAAAAGTATTTACTTTTACGTCTCCTGCATGTTACAATATGAAAATTTGCTTCCTTTGTTACTTCGAAGATATGCTTGTTGAAATTGTAATCTAGTCCTCTAGAAAAAAGGAAACTTCTAGCTGAGATTTTTAACATTGTATATGCTGCATGGAATTGTTTGAAACCTTAGTATAAATTATAAAACAGAAAGAAAAACAAGCAAGACGATGAATAATTTCAGCATCTAATTAGATATACACTTTCCCTGATCAATAGAATACGCTCGAACATCAGTTAAGTCATATTTTCAAACACTGTTCTGATTGGTAGATTTAATTGTTAGGGATTTGTATAATTTAACAGTCAAAATTCACGCGTTAATTATTTCTACTGGTTGAAAAAGGTTACAAGGTCATGGACGAATCAGCTGATAGTATAGTAGAAATTCGTTTTCTCATCTCTTACCTAATTGGTAAAATATATAACTTCACTATCCGTGGGGGTCTTGAGGTTTACAGTGTGTTTATCGCTGTTTATCTACCATTCTATTTGTAATGCAAATCAACTGACCTTTTTCTTCATGATGTACGGATCCATATTTTTTAAGAATTACAAGATTTTAACTTTAAATAGGGGATTAAATATTTCACTGTAAGTTTGTATCAGTCATTTGAAAAATATTTTACCGCATTTAAATGATATGCAGTTCTGTAAACTTGAAGATAAGTTCCATGAATTTTATATGTACAATCTAATGCACTACAGAAAATGAACATTTTGTCTTAATTTTAGTTGCGTTCGAAAGCTCCAACGTTTCCTACCACCAGTACGACTCAAACGTCAGTTTGTACAACTTCAACACCTGCAACAACAACAGCACTATCTCCAGCTAAAACAAAACCAGTTGTAACCACTACTACAGAGATAGGAACTAAGACATATGATTCATTGTTCTCTCATTTTGATGTCTGTGTTACACGTATAAACTCTGGTCTGGAACCCATTCATGTTGCGTCGTTGGATCAGTGGAGCTCTAGTAGTTCTGAAAGTACCACAGGGGTTATAATTCGCTCAGACTTAACACCACACACGTCAACTACATGTCACCATTCTGTACCTTGTATTAACTCTAGCAATCCTATGTTACAGCATTCATTAACGTGCCCTCATGCATCGAAAACTATACATTTGGGCAGGTTACAAATTATTCACATCCATCAGATGGACATGCAATATCTGTTAACTACAGAACGGGATGTAAGCAGGCAGTTGACGCAAAGCACTTGGCGTCGCATAATAATGTATCAGCTAAATCTAATATCAGAAACACTTACAAAACATGAACATGTATGTGCTCATGGTCATCATTTATCAAATTCTATTCCTGCTGGAATTCATCTTAGTGAATTAGAGGATTCACGTCCATCTACATCACACCATGTGCACAGTATAACACCTATGGAAAGTGTAAAGCGAATGCATGGTAAACACAGTGAAAATAAAAAATCTGAACAGATGAAAAGGAATAAGCATCAACACCACTCACATGGTCAAATGGAGAAGTCAGCTCCTGGTAACGAAAATTTAATGTCATTGAATGATTTAGAAACAGCTGCAGCTGAAATGCTTGAAGAAGTACCCTATGTAGTTCTTAGACGTCCACGTTCAGTTGACGTTAAGCAATATCAGCTTCATTTGGAGCATCAAAGACAACAGGCGGCTGCCTTAGCCGCCGCTGCAGGAGGTTATCCGTTCCATCTTTATCAAGTACCTGGTGCTCATTACCCTTTTACTTCGCGCCTACCAATGGGGTCTCAGCTACCATTTCGGTCTTATGTTCAGGCCCCACCATTTCACGGATTTACTGGTCACGAATATGATGGAGGTCAACATTTCGATGTCCCAATTACTACCGAGTCACATCGTAAATGCGGACAGTCAAGTAAACAAATATCCATAAAAGTTCCTCAAGTCACTACAAACAGTCATCCAAAGAAGAAAGTGATTCGTGTAAAAAACGTTCCAAGAGAACGCACTCAAGAAGGTAGGTTTTCTGTAATAGTTATGACTCCTAGTTAAAGTGCTATTTCTTTATGAGGATCTAATTTTTCGACCTTCAGACCATTCAGCAGTCATGAACAACATGAAGTGTATTTTATCCTAGCATCTTACTCATTCAGTAGGAATTATGCTGAATGCTAAAATAGTTTGTTTGTTAATTGCGAATTCATGGGACTTATTCCCTCGTAATTTCTTTATATAACTCCGAAACGTTTGTGAATGATACCTGCGTTTGGTCTATCTGGTGTGTTCGCTGACATCAAAACAAATTTATTCAGAACATTTGTTATTCTCAAATAAGAAGTTCTATTTAATTGGACCGCAAAGCAAATAAAGATAAAACCCAAACTGTGGTTCTAATCAGAAATATGTTTCTGAAAAAAAGAAAATATTATACTCAGTCTGACAAGAGGCTGGAAATGTTGTAGAATGGACCAGTACTAACTAACCCTAGATCTAGGGTCCACTGTGGATTTTGTTCAATTAACCAGAGGATTTATTCTTGTGAAAAAGAATGAATTATGTAATTTTTCAGTTGGCATTAAGCCAACAAAATAACTTTTAATAATAAAGTACAGATATCCAGAAATCTACTTGGCTGAAACAAAATAGTGAATTCCATTCAAGTCACTTGCCAAAACCAATCTTTATAGCCATAAAATGTTGCCCTAAATTTTTATGAAAATTATCCTCGCCTTCGAAAAACCCATTTGTAGTTAGGTGCTGACTCTAAATTTCTCGTCTTATTGTGAATAATAAATCTATTACCATTTAATAGTTTCATACGAAAGCAGATGTCGAAAACAAACCCGTGGCTTGTTTGACTGATGATTTTAATTCATTTAAGTTTTACATGTTATAATGCAATGAACTTTCGAAATTTTATTGAATAATACCTATTGACTGTTTCAAAGAAATCACTGTTACTAAAATTAGTATATTCCAATTTTACCTACTTCCTATATCTGCGAACCTAATCGGTCCATTAGTTTCATATTATCAGACAAAATATAGTCTACGTTATAGCGTTTTATACGCAGAGATAAAAAAATAAGGATTAAAAATCATGGGCATAAATATCTCATAACCCTACTTAGTTTCATACTAGATCAATTTTTAGCTGAACTAAAGCATTTAATCCTGAAGCAATTATTCTGTGGTTCAAGTCAGTTTATCAGTTTGACTATCTGAGATAGCGATGGTTGACAGATTTTTATTGTAGTCGAACTCAGTGGTTGTTGGTGTGAATCCTGATGCAGTCTAGATTTTCATTTCAATCATCATCCAGTACCTTGATCTGAAATTTTAGTTTCTTCACATTTCACTTTTCTAACGCACACACACACACATATACATACAAATTCATAAAAGACCAACTTATATGCCTACAGAAGTTACTTACGATTCAAGCCAATTATGCTTGTTTAATTGACCTAATGCATGAAAAAATTCTCTAAAATGATCTTATTAGGCTGCAGAATACCAGCTTTCTAAAATTTCTTCTAATTGCCTATGACATACTTTTTTGGAAGGGCAATACCACAGTCTTTCTGTAGTTATCTTTCTTATTGACCTCTGTTGTTGACTTTTGTTTCCTCTTTTTGATGTTATCTTTTCTAAAACATTTTGGGTATTGATTCTTCAATAAAATTTTGAATAAGTCATTCGTTTGTTTTCTTAGTCACTAGGGCATGTTGTTAACTTATTTATTCTGGTTTCCAAGACATTGTATTAATCCTTGTTTTGTTGTGATTGGGTGGGCTGAGTGGTAACTCAGAAATCTTCCAGAATGCGTCGTTTTTCAATTGTCGTCTACTATCCTCTTGATCTTACAGTCCAACATCGGCAGTTCCCTCAATCTACTTTCTATTCCACAGTAAATTTTATTGAGTTGACTTGACTGCTTATAGGTGAGTAGAATCCTTCAACACCTTTCTTATTTATTATGACCAGAGTATCATCAATATATCTCCACCAAGTTTTAATCGAAAAAGAGCTTTTTTTCCTAAAACTCTATAAATTTGTCCGCTATTATCGGCTTAGATGGTGCAACTTCCCATCGAATATGAAGAACTTTGCTGTTAATCAGAGTTCTATTCTGTTTAATACGTCTTTTATCGAGAGTTGTGTGGTTTCTCTTAGACAGTCATCTTTTCCTAATCCTGTTTTCAGAGCATTCATAGACATTTTCTTAGTATTTTTGTTTATTGATGTCAAAACTAATTAATATTTCTTCCTCATCGATTTCGATACCTCCAATTTGTTCCAGTAAATCGAATGAGCCTAATAACCTCATTTGTGAATCGTCTCTAATTGACCTTAGTATATGAGTAAGAAACCTTGGTAGCTTATATTTATTATCAAAATAAAACTTAACACTGTGTGTAAGCTTATCATTAAAAAATCAACTTATTGTACACTAATCCATTTCATAATGCACAAACTTTTCATTGATATATTTAATAATCTGCTTAATCATTGCTCACTAACCCACCATTTAAAACCAATCTACCCTAAACTATTCGAATTCTCCTTTGGGCAACATCGAATCCCTTGTTGAACTGCGTTTATACATTTTTTTTACTTTTTACATAAACTTTAAGCCAAATGAAACCGCACAGGATTACACTTTTCATATTTTCTGTTTTACTTTTCTTGATTCTCCCACTAAATAGTCGAAAAGAAACGGAATTGTTGGCTTCAGAAGAAAATAATCGATTGATAGAAGGTCAAATGAGAGATGTTCATCATAGGACATATGACCCTATAGTTCAGACTACTCCATTACCTCCTTCTACAAGTAGTGTACACTCTCACCGTCGCCATCATGAACATTGCGCGCATACACGTCCTGAAGTGACTTCTGATATAAAGATGAATGGTATTTCTGGGGAGAAGAAAACGAAGCCTTATACAACAACTTCTATCTCTGCTAATGTCACTACCACAAACACCAGTAATAAAGAACAGAAGCCCAGCAAATCAAACTTTGAATACAATATGAATTTAATAAAAGGTCGTGATACGCTGAGACCTTCTGTACCGCCAACAACAGTTACAACAACTCCCAGTACCTCAGAACGACCAAACAAAAATCTCTACATCAACCCCAACCATCTACATCTATGCAGGATAAAAAGACTAAAACAACAACTGAGACTAATCAATTAAATCGGGATATACTACCGGATGATCGTGAGGAAAATGGTGAAGGTGAAATGCCATATCCCGTTTCGGTATCTGCTCCGAAACCAGGGCCAAAACTAGATGCGACACCAAATGCAAAATCAAGTGAGTCAGTTGAAAAGACTAACTTTATAAATATCACTTATATCAAATCCTGAACTATGGACTTTACTTTTTAACGGAGAGTAGCGCTAGCGAACTGTATATATCAAATTAAATAAAACGTATTGAAAGCTTTACTTCAATGATTTCTGTGCCAAGTGCTTAAACTGCTGTGTGACGCTTAACTTCACAACAGACTTCTGATGTATTGAATCTCTCAACCGAAAACTATTGGGAGGATGCTGTATTCATGATGAATAAAGGTGGAATTGAGTACTTTTTTGGCATTTGTTTTGAAAAGATTGTACAAACGTACAAAATGCAGTTTCAATGTTATACTGTCATGCTAACATCTTTTCAGAAGAGCAGATAACTACTTGGCTAAAAAGTTTGCCTACCACTTATGCAAGCCTATAGGAGAATAAATTCTAGTGCTTAGTCTACAAAGAATTCATATCAACTTAAAGTATAATCATTTTAGATGATCAGTAGAATTGATAGTTTACTTTTCAGAAAATTAACTATTGCTTTTTCAAAAGTAAAGTTGTTTAATCTATATGTTTTACGTATGTAGATTAAAGATCTATCTTATATTGTGATAAAACCTGTTATGTTTTCCTAAAATCAACTTTAATATCCCAGGTTAAATTCCGTCATGTTGAAAAATCGATTGATTTTAAATACTTTTTCTACAGTTTGACATGAATACTTAAAACCAAACAATATTAGCAGTTGGTTTGTCTTGTACATCCCTAACTTGAGGGAAACTTTCCGACACTAAATAGGGAGCTAATGATCTACACTCAGGTTGGAAGGTGTACGTGCGTGTAAAATTGCTAATTTGCAAAACATACATGAATAATTAAGAAAAATGATAACTAGATATTAACCAAAAGTAAATTTTCATGATTCTTCTAAGCGTGAAACACTGGTTTCGTTCACAGTCATCACAAGCAAAGTGATGGCAGAAGATGCCTAGTTATGATTGTCTTTAAAACATTAGTAATACGCATTGTCTATGTCCACTCCAATTCCATCTGAGTACTATCATTGTTCAAGTTGGATACGTCATTTTAACTCCATTTGACAAGGGACAACTTATCGGCCCAAACGATTATCTGATTGGAGCCTAACTTTCTTTGAGTAGAGTGAATTCTGAAAGATTCTACTTAGCAATTACGGTGAGTAGGTTAAGTTCTTGTTTACAACAAACAACTGCAGATCCTGATTCAGTCCTCTCTGTTAATGTTGATGATGTGTGTGTGATACACTCTTATCCTAATGGATTATTCAAAAAACTTCAGGATTAGCCTGGTTTCACTTCGTAAACTAACCTCTGCTCGAGTGTGAGGTACAATTTAGTAGTAATCGTAGTAAGCAACTTAATTTGGCTATCTTAAAGTCTTTTCTTTAAAATTAATAACGTGAACAAGTCACTTTTATCTATCTCAGTAGAATAGCTTTCACCTATCTGTTGTTCACTACTAATGATCGTCACTGACATAGGATTTCTAGAGATTAAAAAAAAAATTATACTACACATTAACATCAGTCGATCAAATCATTGGTTATGTCGTGACCTACAGTCAAACATACACTACTTTGCGAAAAATATCTTCAAAAGGATTTTCTTCTCAAATGTAAAATTTTAAAAAAATGCCCTACGCTTCTCTCAATGAAATTCTTACTACTGGACAAGATATTTTATTGAATCTTACAGGCTAAAATGGCTATTAAATTAGTGGTACACCATTGACTGGTTGAAAGAAGATGGACTGAAGTACTTCACTTGAATAGTTCATCCATCTTTCACATACTGCGCACAGAAAACAGCTGTACACTAGTGTTCACAACTCAGATGAATTACAGTTATACTAAATAAAAATTGTAGAATAGGTGAACTAATTTCTCTCTCCTCTTACTTGTCCTCATTATAAAACAGTAATTACTATTCTGTGTTCTAATTAATAACTGATTTTGGTTTTATGAAAACATTTGAAAATAATTTCCTCAAGAGATATTTACATCACTTGATGCAAAATCAAGTGAAATTTCATCTTAAAATTCAAAGGAAGTCACACATCTTTGTGAATAGTGATTTTACACTGACCATGCTTCGGGACTGGTCTTTGGCAATATAACTAGAATTTAGTTAAATGAATATTCTTCTTGGAAGTGTAGAAAGCTGTCCACTTGCAGTCAATTTTTAGAAGTATCAATACCCACAATCCTACTATGTGACTATAATACATAAAAAAATATTCAGGACTGATGAAATGAAATGCCTGCAGGTGACATCAAATCAGGCTTTATGAGCATCGCGGTCATGCGACAAAAACAAGAGCTAAAAGGTTTAAAAATCTTAAAGTAACATCATTCAATGGAATTGCTAACGTAAATTGGACAGGATAGTTCAAAAGTGTTGGCTGTTTGAAGGCTATCGACCAGAAACCCTGGAGGTAGGTTTCGAGCTTATAGGCCGTCGTTGGTAAGGTGTTTCCGAAACCTGAAGGGAACTTGTGCCAGCTGAGAGATCCAAAACCATGCCACTTAGTGTTGCAATTAGAGGCGTTATCATTGAGCCAGTTGTACAGCTATTGACTTTCTGTAGCGCTGGATTATATACACTGGTCGATAGGACCCAGTCAGAACTCACAACCAGGCAGCATGAAATGGGTAACTCTCCAGTGACCAGTCAGTGTGTTGGATCCAGTTCAGTATGGGGTTAATCACAACCCAAATGTTTCAAAGGTGAAGCCTCTAACTGCAACACCAGGAGATTTGAGTTTGAATCTCTCAGAATATAAGTGAAAAACTTGGGCACTGTGGTAGAATGTAGTTCCGTATTAGATTTGTTTATTTGATATAAAGCGCACAGTGATACAGTATTATTTAATACTATATCACTGTGCGCTTTATATCAAATAAACAAATCTAATATGAATCTCTCAGAAGACATCGGCTCTTCTAAAACTACAGATACATATCGCTGACTAGTGCCGATAAACGCGAAACAGAAGTCAAGACTCTTTTTGCGAATATCTCCAGCCGTTTAATATCTATCGAAAGTGCACTGCGATGGGGAGTTTTCTTGCCTGGCGATCGGTGGAATTCAGTCACCAAAAAGACTAGAAAACATGAATTTTTTTATTCTTCAGTGACTAGTCAATATAGTTCTAATATGACTTCAGATGTATTCACTGCTTGTCGAGACGTGTTATTCTGAGTGAACCAGGTATACGGTTCAAGATAACTTCGCTATATCATATCAAAACTTCGACAGAAGACAAGAAAAGTGAAGTTTAAGAAAAACAGTGTAAAGTCTACAGATGAGTGAATTCCATATCCAGTACCATATCATATGATGTTTTATAGTGGACACATATTCCTTTGTGAAATTAATATCGAGAATTGATTGGCTGCTGTTGACCTTTGTATCAATCCCAATGAATTGCTCAATATAAATAGTCCATAGTTATATTATCAAGGCTGTTTTTTCTATGTAAGTAACGAATAACAGTATGAAAATGAAATAGTGTGCAGTCAGCGAATCGGTCCACTGATACGACATCAATAGTTCCTATTTTCTGGGATCTATCATTTCTCCACTATCCCATCATGTTACTTTAATCAATCAGTACTCTATCTCAACATTCGTAATTTGTGTGTCGATTTGGTACACAAGTTCTCTTTATATTGTGCACTAACCGATGTAGCAAGTGATATTACTAATTTAGAATGCAAGAAGAGTAGTAGATGAGACCGACGAAATGAAAGGTATACTGAATAATCACAGCATGACCAGATTAGGAAGTAAGAGTTTGAATCCTTAACCAGAATGTACTAGTTATCACATCGAATGCCTAAATATCAGTCAAGTGATCAGCTTTACAGACCACAAATGTTTCAACTGCACATTCAAGCACCGGTTTTATTTTGACTATAGATCCCCAGCCAGTCGCTTTCATAGACTCTGAATAAGTTTTTCAGGCCCATTAAAACAGAGGTGCATAATACCAAAGTTTGTTTAGTGACTAGCGGCGGAATCCAGGAAGCATGTTTCGTCCCATACAGAACTAGTTAGCTGAATGTACCTGGACCCAAGAGAGTGATAGTGTTCCCATGAAGACTTGAATACATTACATATCAGTTCAAACGCCAAAGAGTTATCCACTAGGCCACTGAGGAAGAAGATCCACCTCTCTCATGTTATTTACTGGTACTTGTAACCTTTTGTTGTCATACTGGATCGAATTACTTGACCTCTGTTCGTAGAGATAGATAATGTTAGTGTATGCGGTGGTTATGCAGTGATTAACACCTTGGAAATCCTTGAGTGTTTATAATGAGTAAAAAAAATATGATACCATTAAATCTTAACTTATTTGATCGGGAAGTAATGACGCATCACTTTTCATTTTAAGTTTATCAGATATTTTTCAACTTGAAATGTTAAAAAGATGAAGGATTCTTCTTAATACTGTCAGTAATCGTTCTTTGAGTGTCTTTAAAGGCCACCCTGGCAACGACTGAAATGGACAATGAAATTTCTTCGTTTCGGCTATGAAAGCAGATTTTCACAAAATCAAGAAGTCTTATTAGTTACTTCAGTTGTTGTTAGGGTGATCTTTAAAGTCTCAGCATTCTTTCAACGAAATCTATCCACGAAATCTAAATAAACTGATGATGCAATCAGTTGAGTGTTGAACAATATAATCTTTAGCATTATGCGTGACAACCTAGGAGTAATGAATTTACAACTGAAAAAAGCAACCAGTTATATACATTGTCAATATTTTGAAACATGGTGTAAATCATTCGAACAGTCTTTTTTTCAGAAGACTTTCAAAAGTATGAGATGATCATGCTCACTGCAGTAATAGAAGTGTGCATGTCTGATTGGTCTTTGATTCTCTGTTTTGATAATATTCTTCCGATTTCTTGTCTTTTTCTCTCTCTCACTTTCTTAAAACACCAACGAATTAATGTACAACAGAAATGTGGAAAAACTCAGGTGAAATAACTACAATGTATTTAACTTCTGTAGTCTTGGCATAGTATGTTAAAACAAGTAAAATCAACATATGTTTCGTATTATTCCTCAGTCTTGATAAAATAACTTTTCAAGAGTATGCCAAAAAAGTAGAATGTACCAACTTTTACTGTGTAATCATAAATTCTGAACGGAAATTTTTTCCAAATGTTAGACAAAATAACAGGAATTTTCTTATCACAACATAGCTTATCTAATCCCCGTTTCATTTATGAATCTTTATCTGATTGCGTATGTATTAATTTCTGTTGTTGATTATATCAAGATAGCTGAATTAACTGTTTGATATCTTTTTGAGATTTTTGTTTAGAAATAAAATGGAAGATTTTAATTCATTAAACTTATGAATAAGCAACCATAATGTGTGATGTGTGTTAGCAACTAGGGAATATATAGAACGTGCTACTTCTAATTAGAACTCACTAGTCATACGTTTCGTGTCATTGTAAAACTGATGAGATTTAACAACTGAACTTTGAAACATGCATCTTTAACTCAGTCTTGATACCTCATTGTTGGCATTTATGTGATTTCTTAAACATATAATAATACATAATCGGATACTAGTTGACAAGAGGAGTATTTTCTAAGGTCCCCATCACTAACAAGCTTTATTTGGTTTATGATGAAGGTAATTAGAATCCTCAACCTTTGGCACACGCAACAGAGCAGGTGTATTTGTTGAACTATTTAACGGGTGCTGCTTACTGCTTTTACTATTACCGCTCATGTCAGTCAGTTAGTGAACAGTGCTAACCTTTTTGTCTGCAGTCTCTTTGACTTTAATGATTACAAACTGAACAGGATTTCATGATTGGATCACATTTAGTTGTGTCTGTATCATTTAGAGCTTTAAAGTTTAGTAATAACTGCTTTGAAAACGCAAACCATTTTGTTGACTCACCCATTGAAACACATTAAAATATTATTTACGATCGTATTACTGCTCTATCATTGGAGTTCAACTGCAAATGTGATCATTGTAATTATAAAATAAATGTTTACGCATTTCACCTTTTTCACTCATGTATACAAAAATACCAGCACAAAAGCGTCAAACACGTGAGCAACTGCAGCATCCAGTACCTCCGCCATATTGGTATTATCATCAAAATGAACAACAGCAACCGCAACAATACCAGCATCATCATCACCCTGCGTGCGCTTCGCTAATTGCTAAACATAGTACTTCAACAAAGTTATCGACAGATCAAACACAACCAACTATTTATGGATCTGAGTTTTTAGCAGCAAACTATCCTCATATATCTACTAAGGTTTTGAAACCACCTGGCAGTAGTAAATCCGAGCACAGGGTCACATCCACAAAAAAGAGAGTTACCTCCAAATCTTCAGCCTTACTAACTGATCAAGTTAAGTCTACAGCTCAACGTGACTATACTGAAGATAAGAAAGAAAGTAAAGACAAAGTGGTTAAACAGTTAAAGAAGCTGCGGGATAAACCTAGTTCAGATGACACGGAGACAGCTGGTGTGGTAAGTCTGTCTTCTGGTAATTTTTTATGTCTATGTTCACCATTTGAAGTAACGCAATGTTTTGGCATTGCTAAACTTTGCCAATGCTCTGCTTCTTTAACTTTTAACCAGCGGTATGATATTATTATTATTAATATTTCTCCCTTGGGTTCCCAGTGAAATATAGGGCTTCAGTAACACTTCACAATTTCACTCTCTTCTCTGCAGTCTTTTCAACCTGACTCCACGATTGCCCACAAGCTTTCATTTCTTCCTCACATGATCTCCTCCATGTCACCCCCAGCTGGGACACCCAACTCGTCGTTTCCCCTTTGGATTCCACTCGAGGGACTGACCCAGCGCGTGATGTCTCCGAATGGTCTTCTCAGTGTATATCCAATGGAATTCATCTCCACTTTCTTCTGCATATTTGTTGAGCGATGAGTCCTTGGTCGGTTCGTTGCCAGACAGCCAGCCATAGTTCCTTGTTGCTTATTCTTATTATTCTGGCCATCTGATCTTCAGTATTGAGTGCGTGTAGGTGGCACCTGTTGACGACCATCTGTATTTTGTTGTAAATGCTTTTAGTGACGCACCAAGTTTCTGAACTATAGAGAAGCACTGACTTGACGTTGGTGTTGAAAATTTGGATCTTTTTACTTACGCCGAGTGGAGTGGAGTGCGGTAGATCTCTAAACTGACTTCAGGTTAGTAAAGACCTGTCTCGTTGTCTTTCCGATCCTATCTTTGACCTTCTCACCTCTGCCATCACTGCCGCCTGTAGTTGAAGCGATGCTGCCTAGGTGGTAGGTGAAAGAGACTACTTCCTTTACAGTTCTCCCGTTGATATACTTTGGTGCATGTTGTTGTTAGTTGGGTATCTTCAGCGCCTTCGTCTTCTCTACATTCACCTGAACGAAGTCCCGTCTTTGCTTTCTGCCTCTCCTATCAACTTGTTGGTTTTTGCCTGCAGATAACCGAGTTTGTGGGATATTAGACACAAATCATCATTATCGGCGAAATCCAAATATTCTAAGGAGTTTTCATCAATCCAGCGTATGTCCGTCTTTTCATCCCTCATAGTTGTCTGTTACGTTATGCAGTCCAGTTCAGTCGACCCCACTCAGAAAGATCATCGGTGTTAGTAGGCAGCCTCGTCTTAGTCCTGTCTCCTGTCTTCACTTCAAAGGCGTCACTAGGCTTTTCATCCTCTACAGTATTGAACTGAATGGCATGCTTACTTTCTGTCATTTATTATTATAAAACGCGTATAAATTATTTAAACTTACCTAATTAAGAATACTCTCACAATGTTGGTGTAAAATAAATACTTTTTGTATGACTTTTCAGAAAGGTGCTAAAATTCGTAGGCACAAACTGGTCACCCGATGGTAACCAGTATAGTGCTTTGCACCGATTGAAGTTTGTTAGCCAGTGTTCCAATACGGTCACTTTACCAAGCGATCCCACACTGCATTGCACTTTATTCTGGTTTTAGATATTGAGGGTTGATCTTTATGAAGACCTGACCACTTATGAATTGATAACCACTTCTGTTTACATCAGGTGACCCATTTTGCTAACAAGCTTCAGTCCAAATGTTAGTAGTTACGTTTGTAGCTCTGCGATGAAGCCTTCGACCTGAACTTTGTCTTGTATCTAAAATGACAATGGTTGAAAAGCAACCCTTGTAAATCAACCATTCTGTTCCTTTAGATGACTCTCGACTGGCAGACCCAAATTACCTCATCCAGTCATATATCCCAATTCTTATGTTTCAGTTGTAGACTACTAAGGTTTGATTGTAGTGAACCTATGAAGTTTCATGACCTATCATCCACTGATAGGTGTAGTTGTCGCTCCCTTTGAAAAGCGTAAACACTGAACAAATGGCTAGTTCTTTATTCGATTTCATTTTAGTCACTATGAGATCACAATCAAAACTAGTTTCGGGTTGATATTCATCATGAACTGACATAAGTCGGAGAACCATTGGAAACCTGGGAGCACTGGACAGTTATTCTGTCCTAGTATGGAAATCTTGAGCAGTACGCACCCATGACCACACCAGAGCTCGAATCCAGAACCTTTGGGTTCGTCTGCGAACACGTTACTATTGAACCAGTGGGCGGAATCCACTGAAGCACTACTTCTGTCAATTCCTGAGTTTCAAACATCTTATTTTCTAGCAATGCGTACAAAACTTAGACTTACAGTCTTAACATTTTTATGCACACTGTTTATCATAACAGACTTTTATCATTAAAAATACTTTTGCTAAGAAGTTGTAAGTTTTAATGGATTAAAAGAACTTCTCAGACACATATAAACATACAAGGACTTTGTTTTCATGCATATATCCTGTAACAATGAATTATGTAAATCAGGCTCCTTACAAGAGAAAAAAGGTGTTAAATTATTGAAAATAAAGGAACTAATTTTAATGAAATCACATCAACTACCTGAATGAAACAGACACTAGTTAGTAGTGACGTGAAAAGGAAACTGCCTCCAGCAAAATCTGTCTTGATGTGACTGATGCAGTATGTCATAAATCCACAGAGTGGTATATATATATATATATATATATATATATATATATATATATATATATATATATATATATATACATAAAAACCCAACTTTTTCTATTATGCTAGAATCTTTCCCGTTTGATTGTATTTTCTTCTTACAATCATGAAGGATAAAATAATCATTAACCTGACATGACATTGCAGTTATGAAAGTAAAAGTAACTTTATTTTCGGTTCCTAATCAAAGCTGTATGCCATTCGTAACACAATAGGCCTATCAGTATTCTCTTAATATAGTTCATATTGATCTTGCACGCCTTGACATAGAATAGCCGCCCAACATAGTATTCAAAGGGAATATCAACTATAATTAATTGTATTGTCGTGTATAGAACGTGAAACTTGTCTTTTAGATATATAGTTTGAATGTTGATTTACTTTTGCTTATTGAAAATGTTTTTTCTTTTCCCTTTTACTATGTGTATTGAAATAATTTATTTGGGTACTAGCTTCCTTTCAAGTAAAATAACCAAGATACTTCCTTAGTTAAAATGACGTTTATGTGTCCAACAGGAATCCACAGGCATACACAGAAACAAATGAACTCACAATCACTTTCATTTAGCTTCTTCAAATGTCTGATGATGTGGTAATTTATCAAAGTATGACCTGCATCAACTATAAGATGAGGATTTCACTGATGACTTTATTTGTGAACTGAAGTGACATAAAGAAAAATTGTGAGATGAGAGTGAAAGCAAATTAGTTAACTTATGGGAAGTAAACCATAAAGTTATGTTAAGAAGAGATGAAAAGTACTGATGATACCAAAGTGATGGTTAGATTTTCGGTCTCAGAAAGCTCTATATGCAAAGAACAACTTAAAAGTTGGCTAACGGACAATCCTAGACCTCTAGACAAAAGAATTACTTAGGGAGGCAATAATAGGTGGATTGCGTAAAACCTTTCTTGGTTAAGACTATAGTAATAACGATTTTCTTCTGGTTAGAAATGCATTTCAGAAAGAAGTCACTCAAAACGGAGCCTCTTTTTCATGAATACGACTGTAATATCCTGTCTTTCTTCTAATTTTCAATTGTAATTTAGATTACTTTATACGCTCTTTGTATATGTGAACGTATTTTTAATCTAGCTTTGGGCTGTAAACCTAATCTACGTGTTGGAAATACTGCTACATCTATACTATTCATTCTTAACTTAGTGAGGAGAATTTAAACTGTTGTTTACATTTGCACGGGATCTGAAATCAAATTAAAATGCGTAAGCCACACAAACTTTTGTGACATCACAAACACTGTTGTATAAACTAAACAGTTATCAGTAAAAGTCAATAGAGTTAAAATCGTTTACTGAGTGATGGCAAATTTTCCTCTGACTTGGTGTTAAGATCATTAGAAACCAGTTAATCTTCCTTAATAATTCTATAGTAGGTAGGAATTCAGCATATAGACTTCTCATTCACTAATCCATGAATCATCTAAATAACAGACTCTTTTATCAAATGTTGAACCTTGCCAAATACTGCTTCTTAGAGGCTCTTTAAGATATAAAGTAAGACCTCCCAATTCGAGAAACTATTGTTCTTGAATGTCAACGTAGATAGGTTCTATTTGTTTCTTCGCCAGCAAATTTATCAAAATACCATCGGTTTGTGACAGAACCTTGTGTTTGTTATTAGGCACTTTTTGACGCGGCGTTTGATATTTTAATCTAATTTCAACCACTGAGAATAAGAGCACTTTCAATTGTTTTACTTTCAATCATTGTCTGTCAGTGATAATTTGTATTTGGATAAAATATAAGAATAATTATCTCAGAAAGTTCATTGAAATGTAGCGAATATAGTGTAAGCTTTCGTTTTTGGTTACAGTATGCATATTTTAAGTAACTAATAGATCATTGCAAAATTTATCTAACAGCTGTTTCATTCTAGAGATTGTAGAAATTTTAAACATGCATGAGTGATTACTCAGATTCTCCATTATTTATGAAGAAATGGTTCCTTATTCCCCTGTGTACAATCATTAGCATAAAAATAAGATGTTATCGAACACAATAGAAAAATTGATTCGAATAGTTACTGAAACCTCATGTTCTACATTCAGAAGATTGTAAAGAATGTCTCTATGTGATGACTTTAATCAACCACCTAAATTTTACGGTAAGGAATAGAAACAAAGTTTGATGTTTCACTTGGGATAAGCATATCTCTAGAAACTTATGGTCTACACATCTGTTATTTCTGCAAACAGACTACTGAACCATGGCTACAAAACTAATGCGAAAGTCACGCTTGCCCATCACAATCACCTAACGCGCTGTGCTGGTGAACACTTGTGCCACTAAGGTCCTACTATACCAGAAAGGTCACTTAGACAATATTAAGACAAACGGCAGTCACTTTTATGATGTAAATCATCACTCTGCCATTGGGATCCAATGACAAAGCTTTACTGCTGACTTAAT